AGGACCAATGAATCTAGCTACTGCAGCTTAGGGCCCAACATGTTAGCAAAATAGTAACACAATACTATGAATATCTTTCCGCAACAGTAAGTACAATATTTTCTTGATTCTAAGATGCATCCTTTTCTACATTCTAATGTTTCTAAAATTGAGTACATCATAAAAGCAATATTTAAAGAAATCTGTTGGCTCCAAAGCAGAGAAATTCCACTAAAAAAAAAAAAGATTTTATTTATTTTTAGAGAGAGGGGAAAGGAGGAAAAGAAACACCCAATGTGTGAGAGATCAGTTGCCTCTCACACGCCCCCAACGGGGGCCCAGCCCGCAACCCAGGCGTGTGTCCTGACTGGAAATTGAACCAGCGACCCTTTGGTTCATAAGCCAGCCACCAATCCATTAAGCCACACCAACCATGGCAAAGCAGAGAAGTTCTGATATAGCAGACAATGCACCATAGCTAACTTGACTATAAATAAAATGCGAAACTTTTGTCATTTTAGTTGTATTATTTTCAGCAGCGGCACCATGTATGGTTGAATCTAAACCTTTAATTAATGCTCAAGATGTTTTCAAAAAGATTCTACTATGATGTAGCATTACATACTCAGAAACTGCCTGTCATCCAAAACAGGCAATGCAATTAAAGGCATAAACTGCAACGTTAGGCAAGTTAGAGAATTTTCGAGGGTGAGAAAGGTTCTTATGACATAGAAGCACTCCAACATGAAACATCTGTCAAAACTTACTGTCGTCCTCCCTGACCAGTGTGCTCAGTCGGAACATCATGCTGTAAACTGAAAGGTCACAGCTTCAACTGCCAGTTAGGGCACATGCCTGAGGTGCAGATCTGGTCCCCTGTCGGGGTACATATGAGAGGCAACCAATCAATGTTTCCCTCACACATTTCTCTCTCTCCCTCCCTTCTTCTTTCTCTAAGATTGGTAAGCATGTCCTCATGTGAAGATTAAAAAAAAAAAGACAACTTATTATCTTCAGAAGTTGTGCAATTTCCAGCAGTAACTCACTCCACTAAGCAAGAAAAAACAACAAAAAAGGAAAAGAATACAAAATCCAGTATTCTTCAATATGCCTCAAAAGTATATAGTCAATCGTAAAGAAAATAGGTTCAAGATAAGCAGGGTTACAAAAAGCAGCATGTAATCATGATGTTATGTGTTAACTAACCAAAGCCCAAAGTAATTCAAAGGAAGCCTAGATCTCAATGTGAAAAGGAGACTCCGTCTTTTTTAAAAAATTGATTTAAGAGACAGAGAGAGACCTAGATTTTGTTGTTTGACTTATTTATGCATTCATTGGTTGATTCTTGTATGTGTCCTGATTGGGGATTGAACTCACAACATTGGCTTACTGAGACGATGCTCTAGCCAACTGAGCTACCTGGCCAGGGCCTGAGGCTCCATCTTTATTCTGAAAACACACACACCACACACCACACACACACACACACACACACACACCCTCTGAATAAATAAATGTATGCCACTGAAGGTTAATAAAAACCATAGGTTGCCCTAGCTGGTGTTGCTCAGTGGTTTGAGTGCTGCTCTGCAAACCAAAGGGTCGCAGGTTTGATTCTCATTCAGGGCACATACCTGGGTTGTAGGCCAGGTCCCTAGTAGGGGACATGCAAGAGGCAACCACACATTGATATTTCTCTCCCTCTCTTTTTCCTTTCCTTCCCCTCTCTCTAACAATAAATAAAATCTTTTAAAAAATGTTTATTTTCTTTCCCTTGAAAAGCTGTTACTAAATAGTTTGTTTTAGATTTAATGGTCTCAAAATTGTGAAAATGTCAGTTCAACTTCATCTTTTTAAATACCTGTATATTAAATTACATCATGTGGATATGCCATAATATACCTATCCCCTACTGATGGGCATTTAGGTTGTTTCCAATATTTTGCTATTATAAATGTTTCAAACACTGATAACCTGAGTTGTATTAGTAATATTGTAATGCTGAGAATGGGTGGTGAATTCATGGGTGTTCATTTATTATGTTTCATAGCTTAATGTATATAACATATTCTTTGTACATGTCAAGATTAGTTAATAAAAAAATACCACACTAAAAATTCCTGCCCTGGCTGGGTGGTCCAGTTGGAGTGTCCTTCTGTGCACCAAAAGTCTGTGGGTTCAATGCCCAGTCAGGGCACATACCTAGCTTGTGGATTTGATCCATAGTTGGGGAATAAATGGAAGGCAACTGATCGATGTTTCTCTCTTACATCTCTCTCCCCCCAAAATCAATAAACATATCCTTGGGTGTGGATATAAATTAAATAAATAAATAAGTCTTACACACACACACACAGTTGAGAATTTCCCTTATTCTCAGAAGTGAAAGTGCTGGGTCTAAGATGATATATATGTAAAATTCGGGTACTTATTGTCAGATTGCCTCCCAGAACAGTGTACTAAATTTACATTTCCTCCAAAAACGTATGGCGTTAACAAATCTCACTAAACTTTGCTAATACAACATTTGAAAATTCAATTTAATAAAAAGTAAAGAGAATTTAAAAAAAAAACTCTTTAAATTAGTCTTCCCAACAATTCTGATCATGTCATTCCCTACTCAGAAACATCAATGATTGTTTCACTTAGTGGTTAAAGTAACTGCTCTGGAGCCGAACTTCAGGGTACCAATCACAGTACTACCACTAAGGAGCTGTGCCTCAGTTCCTTATCTTCAAATGTGGGCAATAACGATCCTATTTAATGGGGTTATTTTGAGCATTAAGTAAGTTTAATACAGGTCAAATATTTATAATAAATGACTAAATCAGTAAATGGTAGTTAGTATTTCTTTCTGTTACCTAACCCAGAATCTCCCACCCCATATATCTTATACTCTAATCAGGCTCTCAGCTAACATACCTTGTACTTTTTCTATTTTCATGTCCTTACTCATCCTGTTTGTTCTTCTTGGGAGATCTCCTGTCATTAGAATGCCTCCTTCATGAAGCTTTCCTTGAACTGCTGGTTGTTACCCCTCTCCTGAAATCTAAATGCACTTTGCATAGTCAGATAAAATGTGTTTTTGCCCTATACTTATAATTGTCTTATTCTTCCCACTAGATTACAGATTCAAAGAGCATAAGATGATGTGAGATACATATGTGTATATATAGATTCCGCACCCCGCCCAAATGGATTAGGACTCACTTATTCTTTGAAATAACACTTAAATTGGTTAGACTTAACAGACAAAACCTCCATTTCTTTAAAAGTTCAGATATTCATCTAATATGCAAATGTTAGTAAATCCAGACAAATATTGTTGATATCTTGTCCAACCTAGGGAAAAACAGGTACCATTACCTAAAAGATTCCAGAGTGTTACTGTGGGTTGAATGAGGCTTTATAAAAAAATATGGCCCATCTTAATGCTCTAACTAAACCCCTTATGAGAAGAGCAAGTCATATGTACTGTTTCCATCTTAGCAGCATAGTCTTAGTTGTTTAGACTGATGACGTTTTCTTCAATTAGCTTTCTAGCAATTAACTAATCAAAAGTAGAGACAATCACTGTAATTTAGCTTCATGCTGAAAAATGATCGACATTGCTACTTGATAAAAATGTTGTTAAATGACTAAATGACTTTTGTAGTCTACAAAAATCCCCCACTAATCTAAATCTAACATTTAGAATGAAAACTAAATAACTAGAGTTGGAAGAGTTCTAAGGCTATGTTTACATAGAACATCAAAGAACAGTATTAAAAACAAAAACTCAAATTACAGAAAAAAATCCAGATAATATCATACTAAAAAAAGTAGTCATATTTTTTAATTTGCTTTCAGAGAGTGGCAAGCATGTTCAATAAATATGGAAAGACTGTGCCTTTCCCAGTACATACCAGGAGCTGGTTTCTTGCAGTAGCAGGTGATCAGAAGAACAGAATGCTACTACTTTTACTGTTAAATCAAATTCCTCCACTGCCTTAAGGAATCACCTAGCCTATTTCACCTGTCAACTTATTTAAGGAAAGAAATGAACTTAGTTAAATCACAAATGTAGATATCTTAACAGAGAACATTCATTCTAATTATAATGAATAACTATATTTCTAATTCCTGATGGAGGAGATTTGATAACAATTTTAAATTTCATACAAACTCCACAAAGGCCTGGCAAGCTTCATGATCCCAGGCATTCAAATCCATCTCCCAAACTGGAGTGGTACAATATTGTTTGTGTGTGCAACTACACTTATTTCTCACTGGGTTTACGAATAACTTGTACACGATGACATCTTTTCTATCATATTAACATATAAGTCGACAAACATTAAACTTTGTTCCCTTACAGAGGTGTGGCTGCATGTGGTTCAGGATGGCTACGAATGTGGCCCAACACAAAATCGTGAATTTACTTAAAACATTTTGAGATTTTTTTGTGTGTGATTACGTGTCACAACGTATTTAATGTGTGGCCGAGACGCCAAAAGGTTAGACAAGCCTGAATAACTTTCAATTGGAGAAATCAGAGTATGGGGTTAAATCGGGTCACCTGAGTCACTTTTTAAGACACAAGTTCTTCTTAAAGTTATATAAGCAAGGCTCCCTTAATATTCTTTCCATTTTCTGTATTTATACACACTCTTACTATATACAGATCTCTCCATCTCTCCCATGCCTTCCAACTGTGAACATAACAGTGCGCTGTAACGAGAATTCCAGGATTTCTCCAAGCTATATCCAGGATCCGGTCCCTCGGGGAGGCAAAGGACTGCAGCTCTTTCACTGTGACTTTCTTTCAGAACCTCCTTTCCCTTTCCTTCCTTCCTAAACACTGCAGACCCGTGTGTGTTGCGGGTGCGAGTGGAGGTGAGACACAGTCGCCGCCAGGCCTGCAGCGAAGTGGCCTTTCCCAGCCAAACCTGCACCTCCAAGGCCGCAAGGCCTGGGGCTCTTCCTCCAGCCCCAGGCGCGGCCAACCCTCGCTTCCCCAAGGCAGGGCTCCGCTCGCGTCCATGCAACCAGCCAAGTCGGGCCCGCACCGAGCCCGGCCAGCCCGCCCGGCCGCAGTAGCCCCTGGAGCCCCGCCAGCGGGGATGGGCGTGGGCCCCGGCGGCCACCGCCCCGCCAACTCCCGCTCGCAAGGAGAGAGTGCGCCCCACCCGCTACGCCGGCCCCAGACCTACCTGCAGGGGATTGCGGGTCTCCTGGACAGCGGCCACGGGCCGGAGAGGGGACGCCGAGGCGGCCGGAAGCCCTCCCAGGGAGCCTGAGTATCCCGGGGAGCACAGGGTGGGGAGAGTAGCCGGGGGGCTGCCGCGGGCCAGCGCGGCCCGTCGCGAGGGTCGCGGGGACCTCGCACTCCCCTCAGCACCAGGCCGTTGCCACCGCCGCCGCCGCCATTTTGCCTTCCACTCGGTGTCGCCGCCGCCGCACTCCGCCGCAGGTTTCCCGGATGTGGGCATTTCCCGGCGTCGCTTGCGCGGGGGCCGACGACTGGGGGCTTTGGCCCGCTCGGCCGCCTGCGGAGAGCGCCGCCCGCGGCCTCCTGCCCGCCGCCCGGCCCGGCTCCCCTGTGCGTCGCCAGCGGCTCCCCCGCCTCGCGCTGCCCAGTTGACTCGCCCCGGTGCGTGCCACCGGGCTGTCTCCGGCCCAAGCCCACGCTCTGACTTCGGTCTCACTTTTTTTTTTCCCTTCTCAGTTGAGCTCTTTCTGTGGACGGGTATAGGACTGAAGTACGCATCTCAAGGATGCTAATTCTCGGGAGGGAGCAAACAGAAATGAGCTGCTCTCTGAAACCTCGCTGTGGACGTCAGGATTCGGGATTTCTAGAGGCTTTGAAAAAAATATTGCTTAGTTCTCTTTTCCCCGGTGAATCCGTGACTTTCAGTATTTCCCGAATCAGCCATTTAATATGGTCTTGACCTGAGAAAGAGTTACAGTTTTATCTGTCAACCAAATAAATCAATAGAAGAAAAAGTTGCTGTTGATGTAAATGGAATAATTGTGACTGTGAGAAGAGCTTTTATTTTTTTGTTAAAATAATTTGGAAATTTGGGATGGAATCATTGGGTGTATGATGTTTGCAAGTACCGTCCCCTCTTTGTATGTGGAGCGCCTGTGCCAATTCTACCTCTTGAAAATGTATGCAGTTGATCTTCTGAAATAATCCCCTTTCGTCCTTTTTTTACTAGAGTCTATTTTAAAAATATTTTTTAAAGATTTTATTTATTTATTTTTAGAGAGGGAAGGCAGAAAGAGAGAGAGAGAGAGAGAGAAACATCAATGTGCAGTTGCTAGGGGTCATGGCCTGCAACCCAGGCGTGTGCCCTGGCTGGGAATCGAACCTGCGACACTTTGGTTCGCAGCCCACGCTCAATCCACTGAGCTACGCCAGCCAGGGCAACTTAAAAATATTTTTAATTAAAGACTTCTTTTTCTGATGTTAAATTAGTTACCAGCTCCTGTATCCAGAAGTTCAAATGTGAAAAACCTGTGTTAAAAGTTTACATTCTACAAGTACTTGGTTGAAACTCTAGGTTCCATAAGCACAGAGTTTATACAAGGTAGAGGATTTGACCCAAGGTGGGTCACTTAATAGTCTTAGTTTTTACTTTCTTCAACTGGGAGACCAAGTAACCTCTAGAGTCCCTTTCAGCCTTAAAATTATATGAATCTCCTGTGTTCACTGGCCTGCTTGCCCTTTCCAGAAAGATTAACTTGGAAGAACATACTACCCACAGAGTCTTGTCACCTCTGTCACTGACACATGGAACTTCTTAAGTTTCTCAATTCTCTCAAAGCATGAAGGCAAGTAACTCCATAGACCACCGTCCAGGAAAACTAAATAATTCAAGGAGCTGGGTGAATTGCTCTTTCTGAGACTAGGAGGTTGGAGCCCAGTAGGGAGACAGAAGGGCCGGGAAAGGAGGAGTGACCCTGAGAGGACCCACGATAACAGATTGAAAGCAGCTGCGACTCCAGGTGGGGGTGGGGGTGACAGACCAAGGGAGCTGCTGACAAGGGTTGGACAGTCTGAGAACGGCATTATCTGCCATTCACTTGAAGGCATTTGTATTGCTGTGATGGAAAACCATTGATCCAGCTTCCATTTACTCCCCTCTTTAATGCTGTATGGAAATGGTGATTTTTTGGTGGCCAAATTTCATACGTGTGTGAATGTAGGAACATGGGCAGTATACATGGAGGATGTCTGGAGACCAGCGGTGATACTGAGAGCATTAGCCCTCCCAAGAATTCACACAGTCTTAGGGGAAGGCTCTAGACTCTGACCAGCCCACACGTAGGAAGTATAGCTGTATTCTGCAATACCTCCTTGAAGGCAGAGCATCTATATAAATTATTTGGAATTCTAATCAGATTTGTCTCCTCCTTCATTTATTTATTCAAGCATTTATTGATGTCAATGTGGACTCATGGATATTTCAGATTGTTCCACCTTTGGCTATTGGGAAATTTTCCAGTTGGCTTCTGTGACCCTTTGACATATTCTCATTACGTGCTTTCATTTTTCTTTAGAACTTACTTTCTGGCACTACAAGATGCTGCAAGCAATCTTGTATATTTCCCACCACTCCAAGGAGCCCTGGTTCCTTTTATTGGAGAATGGTATAGCAACCAAATCTGGGGGTCACTGCTTGTATGACCTCTCTGGCAAAGAGAGTTTAAAATTTGTGCATTCCATACTATGCACAGGGGTAGAAATTGTTCAGATTTGTTGCAGATATTATTTTGTAGTCCAGTATTAACTGCAGCTTAGCTTCATACATCCATGACCTGCACAAAGATTTCCAACAGTCAATGCATTTCTGATGGTTTTGTTAGGTTGTCTGTCAGCTATTGTCCCCCAGAGTTGTTAAGACAGTTTGGAACTGAACATTAGTTTATTTGTGGCTCTGACTGGGTGGCTCAGTTGGTCGGGCATCTCGCCACAAAGTTAAAGGACACCAGTTCACTTCCAGGTCATGCCTGGGTTGTGGGTTTGGTCCCTGGTCAGGATATATATGAGAGGCAACTGATCAATGTTTCTTTCCCTCTCTTTCTCTCTTCCTTCCCCTCTCTCTAAAAATAAATAAATAAAAATTTTAAAAAAATTCTTTGTGATCAGCACTGGCTGGTGTGGCTCAGTGGATTGAACACCAGTCTGCTAACCAAATGGTCACAGGTTCTATTCCGAGTCAGGGCACATGCCTGGGTTGCAGGCCAGGTCCCCAGTAGGGGGCAAATGAGAGGCAACCACACATTGATGTGTCTGTCTCTCTCTCCCTCCCTTCCCCTCTAAAAAGAAATAAAATATTTAAATTTTTTAAAAAATTCTGTCTTATCAGCTAGATTCTAGTCTTTCTCCCTTCTCACCATGCCCATCCCTCCAATTCTTCCCTCTATGTACACCTCTGACATAGTGAAATGTTTCTGGGAACTGTTTTGATGCTAAGATGACTGCAGTCCAGGATGTAGCTGGTAGTTGTTCTACACTGCCACTTAACATCAGTCATGGCTGAGAATGATGTCAATAGTTTAAATATTGGGATGTCCTAGTTTGGATCTTCACAGGTTTCATATCTGGGGCGGGGGGGGGGAAGCAATGCTATTGCTTCAGACTGTCTAGTAAGTTTGAGCTAGGCAGCACATTGATACTGTAAGCTTAAATGATACAAACTCTACAGGAGTGAACTTACTACACTTCTTGGACACGATTCTAGAATGGGTTATTGAAAGGACTTTACACAAACAGAAATGTTACAAAGGCCAAGGAATTCTTCAATTATGCCAAATTTTTGATAGGATAGCTATAGCACAGACATTTTCCTCACAATAGTCTGAACAAGGGCAGAATGTCAACAAATTAGGTTGGTGTATAAATATTTCAGTGACTGTAGCCAAATACCAATGATTCGTGTGTCCCTGATAATTGACTCTAGGAGGGGGCCTAAGCACTTCAGTCCATTTAACCTATTTTCTAACGGGAAAATAGGATGAGAAAGCATACTGGGCAATTCTGAAAATAATTTGCTTCTCAGAAGGGATTGTTCATTCTTTCTATACTGAAATAAGATCTGTCTTCTTAGAACAAGAAGAATGGACCTGTAGGAAAGATCAAAACTATTTGTATTAACTCAGTACAGAAAGTATGGCTTAGGAGTATTGTGCGTGAAAACTTAAGGGTTTAGTTCAGCTACTCAACAGTCTAACTGAACAAATGTCAGAATAATTAAAATAAACTAAGGCAGCATTACAATAGAGTAGTGCACTCAAAATCAGAATGATTTCTCATATTCTCATGAGGCAGATACCACTTGCCTCATTTTGGAAGTCACATTTTAAAGATGGCCTTTGGAAAACAGGAGTCATTTTTAAAAGGGAAAACAAGATTGTGACTTCAGTTTGCACTGAGTTGGTGCTTACTTTGGATCAGATACTGTATTAAACATTGTCAGTACAAGACCAAGATCTGGGCTCTGCTCTTAAGCTTGTGGTCCAGTAGAGGGAGCCAGGCTGCTTAAGACACTGCTCTAAGCACAATGTAAACTCTGCACAATGGGCTTCTGAAACAGTACAATTTAACCCAGATTGTAAGAGGCCAGGGAAGGCTCTCTCGACAAAGTGACACCTAAAGGCAGTGGAGAAGGGTGAGCAGGATTTAGCCAAGTAGGGCAAGAAAGCCAGGAAGGGAACTTAGCCCAGAAGAAACCGCTGAAAGGACAGACTAAGAAGTTTTACACCCAGAAAAAGCTACAATATGTGGTTTTGAATACATGAATGTTTTGTGTGTGTGGAGGGGGGTCTCCTGAGAAAAGACGACAGATGGAAGCCCGTTTCAATTCAGTATATGAAAACTCATTTATTTAGTGAAACTTCATGGTAAAGTACCCCAACATAATGCAAATTCAGAAAATGGATTAGTGATGGGCTCTGTCACATATCAGGTTCGCATGATCATTTTAATCCACAAAAACATCATTCTACCTTTTTTAACAGGACCCTTTTGAGTCCCACTCACACACGGAAACCCTGCCATCATGCTGGATCAACTAGAGCTGTCCAGAAGAGGGAGGCAGCACAGCACATTTTCAAATATACGGATGAGAACTTGCTGGGAATGAATGCTGTGGAAGGTATGATTAGGCTGGAGATGCCCTCCAGGGTGCCTTCCGCCTCTGGGATCCTACAGCCCTCAAAAAAATTATTTGATAGTTCCATGAATAAAGGCAGTGACAATGAGCAAATTCATATATTAGTTTTATTTATACTGTATCAAGCTTATGTTTCTTATTAAATGTATGGCATGTAACAAAGATACTGTCTTTTACACATGATTATAAATACTCAAATCAAAGCAAAGCTTCAAACTTAAAACTGTTTCTAGTTCCAGCTAATATTCTAAGCCTAGACATCTGGTTCCTTCCTTCTACCATTATTTACTATAATGATCAAAGGGAAATTATATACATTTCTGCTGGAAACTGAGATGGGTGCTAACATGTTTGAAACCTTCACTTTTCAGCAGCAAAAAGCAGAGGCACAAGCTTGCTATTCACTGTATATGGAAAATGTGCCACCAGGGACCTAGGGCCTTTGACTTAGAGCAAGGATGCTGGCCTGCTAACCGTAACGTGAGGGTGTTCGCACTGGGTGGGGAGAGGCTCTGTGGCTTAGGCTGTGGCAAGACAGTCATACAAAGGGAAATATAAGGCCAGAGGAAAATTCATAGCTGTGTTTATATTATTGAACCCATACAGGCAAGGAATGTGCATCTGTGTATATCTCACAAAAAACATGAAAGACTTAAAGTGTCATTAAAAGTACTTAAATTTTTCTTTTGACTCTTATTTATTTTATATTTGTTTTTCTGTAATGAATTACTTTTACAATAAGAGAATGTCTTAAAAATCAGTCCCCTACGGATAGGACCCAGAGCTGTTCCCTGGCTGTGAGTACCCGAACATGACACAATACAAGGGTCCTGGCGGTTCATGAGCAAAGGAACCCCAGGTGCCAAGCGAAGTGCGCTGAGCTGACAGCATAGCCTCTGTGCAGGCCGTAGGGGGTACCGTGGGCAGAAACGAAGCCCTAGAGCTTTAAAATGAAAACACTAAAAAGCAAACATGGGCACGGAGGAAGAGAATGTGGTGCACCGATACAATGGAACATTATTCAGCCAAAAATATGGGAATGGTGTTCTAAGTTGAGCTGCAACATAAATGAACCTTGAAAACTTTATGCTAAAATAAACCAGACACAAAAGGCCATATCTTACATGATTTCATTTATAGATAATGTCCAGAATAGGCAAATCCATAAAGACAGAAAGTAGGTTTGTGATTGCTAGGGGGTTGGAGAAGGCCAAAATGGGGACTGACTGCCAATGGGGGGGAGCAGTTACTTTGAGGGATGAAGAGGATGTTCTGGATATAGACAGTGGTGATAGATGCATAACTTTGTGAATATTTTAAGACATGAACTACACACTTTAAAAGAGTGAACTTAAAGTATGTGATTTGTAGCTCAGTAAAAAATAATCATGAACTTATCTGTATGTAGGTTATATTTCAATAGAGTTAAATTTTTTTAAATACTAAAAAAAAGATATTCCCACCAATATAAACATAAAAAATTCCTATCAGCAACATTTTCTTTCTTTCTGACTCTTCGGAATTCAAAGTTACTAATTATCTTTAATAAAATATTTTTGAGCCAAATATATACAAAAAGCAGATGTATATATATATTCCATTTTTAAATGTTTACAAAAAAAGAAAAAACCCAAGATAAGCACAAACCCCCTGAAAATATTAGGAGAGAAAAGCAATATTTTACTTAATTACTATTATTGGAATTACAAATAAATGAAAAACACTTCAATTATATAACACTCATTATAATCTAATAATGCATTTAATCTACCAAACTCTGGAAAGACAATGTCATTATATTGTCTTCAAATACTACAGATTAACGTTTCGAATAAAGATAAAGAAGTCAAAATTCTTTACTCTTACCACACACCATACTAGTACATGTTACCTATCATACATGTTACCTCATACATGTTACCTATCAAATTTTAGTTTGGGAATAGGCTCATTTATCAATGTGAAAATTATTTTATTGCCCAGTGTCCAGGTCAGCAAAAATGTGTTTTCCTTTTTTCAAGAAAAATAAAGTTGGGTATGAGCAGTTGATAGGGTTCCACTCAAATATATTCTAATAAAGGAACCTGTCAAAACATTTTCACCTTTAAAAAAAGTCAGTGTTTTTGTTCTACTAAATTCTTTCTGAAAAAGTTTATTAAAATTATTAAGAACAGAAGAAAATACTTGCAGTGCAAAGACGAAACACGAACACTGGCTAATGCCACACAGTTGACAGAAAGGATGGGAACCCGCCGGTGAGCTGAGTCTCCCATAATCGGAAATGAAGAGCAGCTCCCACGAGCAGTCCAGCAGAGCCTGTTTCAAGGCAGCGCATTCACCAACACAAGGGTCCCTCTGTCGTGCTCGCACATGTTCCTGTTCTTCCGCCGCCAGGCACCTATCAGATTCTGCAGCTTGTTAGGGCAAGGAATTTCCAGCTAACAAAACACAGAACTGGACACTGCCATGCACACCAGTTTACCAATGCTGCCCCTGAAAATTTCACATTTTTCAATAATAAAAATTTGTAAAGACGCTGGAATTCGAAATGTTTTTCACCTGAAATCTTACAATTAAAATCTTTTCATGAAAAAAGTTGCCTAGTAACATAAATGGCTTCGGCATCGGTTCCACACACAAGACAAGGACCTAAAACATCCAAACTGTTCACAGACAAAGTCCTGTTGGGAAGCAAGCTCGTGATCTCAATGCGGTCTTTCGCAGGGTCAGTGCTGAGCCAGGAGCTTATGAGAGACTGGTGAACACTGGCCTGGTTACTGATGCTGTGAGACAAAAAGGTACTATTTCTTCCTCCTGGGAGAAAAGAAAAGGGCCGAGGGGAGGATCTTTTTATTTTTTCTGGCCTTCCCTGGGGATTTCTAAAACAAATTGTTGACACTATTACGGGTGTCCCCATTTTCCCGCCTCCAATCAGCTCCCACCCACCTTCCCCACATTGTTGTTTGTGTCCGGGGGCCTATGCATGTATGCCCCTATGTTCTTTGGCTAATCTCTTCTAGTCCCTCCCCACCCCTTTCCCTCGGAGATCAGCTAGCCTGTTCTGTGTGTCAGTGCTTCTAGTCCTATTTTGTTCGTCAGTTTAATTTGTTCACTAGGTTCCACATATAAGTGAGATCATATGGTATTTATCTTTCTCTGACCGGCTTACAGGTCCATCTGTGCTGTCACAAAGGGTAAGAATTTCTTAAAAGCTGTGTAGCTTTCCACTGTGTAAAGGTACCTTATCTTTCTTATCCACATAATTGACGGGCACCTGAGCTTGTTTCCAGATCTTGGCTAATGTAATAACGCTGCTATGAACATACCTTGGTGAAAGAGTGATGATTTTTCAGGCACGTCTGTGGAGGCATCCCAATGCCAGAGGGACCCATCCTCAGAACACGTAAATAAATGATCTGGGTTGGACGGGTGAAAGTGAACTTCCCACACTAAAAGATAAGAACCAAGAGGCTTATCCTGTGCAGATTAGTTGAATAAACTTTAAAACCCCTTCTCTAGGCATGATCTCCCATTAACAAGTATGACAATGGATAATTCTGGAAAATTTTTTTAAAAAATTGTCTTAAGTTTATTTTCAGTTCTGTGTCATTAACCTATGCAGGTTATATTATTGGAAAGACTGGGAGAGAAGACGATAAAAGTAATATACAAATGCAATTCTATGAGGCAGAGTCCAACTCAGCTCATGCCAGAACTCAATACTTCTATTCTAGCAAACTAAAACCTGGAAATGGTCAAAGAATCGGGGGTCCAGTTTCGGTTGGAAGACTTTCAACAAGCCAATTTGGGATTGAGGACTCCTCAAACTCTACACCTGAAGGACACATTGTGTGCCAACAGACATCCAGGAGCCAATGACCGGCCAGGGCACCCGAGGAAGTTCCCTGCAGCATGCAGATAAAACAGCTGGTCTGTGAACGAGGGTTCTGTGATTCTGGATCTGGTGACATTAAAGAGGTGGCATGGAAAGTGCTCGGGTATAACATAAAAAGTGCAAGGCACACATTTGCAAGCTGGCATTTTCATTCTGACAGTTACTACAATTAAACATTATGTCACAAAGCATAAAAAGGTCACTTTCCTTCGGAGGAAAGGAATGTGTTCTGAGCGAGTCCCTGTATAAGGTTCATTCATACTATTTTACTGAAACAAGGTGAAACAAAACTTCAAGTTACAAACAAATGCCCAAATCTAGATGCTTCAGTATTTCTTTATTTTCAAACTAGAAAAACAAACCTCTAAAAAAACAACCTTATTTCATCTCTAGCCAAGAGATGGAATGTATACAACACAATCCACTATGGTTGTGTGTTTACTGCATACCAATACAGGCTCCACTATTATTAAAACGGGGCTGGTAAGAAGAGATCTGAAAGCTTGTAATTCTATTACCACTGGGGTAGCCAACATCAGACTCTGTGAGGGCATATCCTATTCCTTTTTATTCATTTATTCTCCTGGGCATAACTGTAAAAGGAAAAGGCAAAGAAATTTCTATCCTTGTATTTACTTTATCTTAAATATAATTTTAAAAGTCATTTATCTTTCCAAGGTAACAATGTGAAACTTATCAAACAGAAGTTGTAATACTGACATAATGTTTGCTTTTTGGTACTTTTATTCAAGTATTAATACAAACTCCTCTTATGTCAGACTTGAAAGCACTAACCCACTGTCATGAAATCAAAAACAATGGTCATACAACGAAAATTTCTGTCCAGCCAATAAATCCCCACCAATCTCAGAAGACAAGCAAGCAAACAAAAAGACAAGAACCAGGATCTATTTTTCTGTTAAAAGAAAAAAATGAACATGCAGGCTAATCACCAGGGTTTTGGATAGAATAATGAAACATGTTAAAGAACTTAAACGTCAAGTAAAAAAGGGTAAGTTAATTATTATAAAATTATACAATTCAGCCAAAAGACTATAATGCAACACAATCCATATGTACTGCTATGGAAAGTTGCTTATAACATACAGCTCAGCCAACAAAAACTGATGTATCTCCAGAACACTTACTTTCAGCTTCATGAGCCTTCAGTAGAGACACAGGCATAGTTCCTTGTCGAACATCCCAAATACTCAGCATTCCATCCTGGCCACCCGTAGCTACAACATGCTGTTGGTTGGGATGTCTGTCAACGCAGTGGAGTGGCACTCGGTCACCGGTCCTTTTATGGGGGATACAATGACATCAAAAATATTAAAATATATACTTTAACCTTGCAAAATTCATGAAACATGTTTCATTCTAGTAACTAAATGATAACTTTGTGGCTAGAGCTGCTGGCTGAATTGCAATCATGTCCCAAAACTGACTATATTAAATATACTTATAAATACTAGAATGGGGGGGTATATGGTTTAAGGCCGAAGTTATTCATTCTCTCTTCAAATTGAGAAGCATAGAGAGCAAGATAATCTGGTGGTATGATGTGCAAAACATATTTCCATTTCTTGGCTTTTAAAAAACATGATGTATCAACTAAACAGCATATTCTTTACTCCTACCTTATTTTATATTTAGTTTATGTTTTTCAGTTTGACACATTCTCTTTTCTTGTTAGAGAAGAGTAGGCCACACACATAAAAAAGGGGGTTTCTGCTCAAAAAAGAATCTTGGATTTTAGTTTTCTTCCAGTTATATCTAGAGTGTATTATCTCCACTAACAACAGAATCATTCAATGAGCAAAAATAAGTTCCCCATTAAATAATATAAATTCCAAAGACATAAAAGCTCTGAATCAAGACAGCAAATACTAAGTGCAGCATGGTAGTATCAAACCCATCAAATCATATTTGCTTTACCAAATTTAAATAGGGATTATTCTCTGAAAATGAAATTAAAATACAATATGGTTTAAGGTCTATTATAAACAAACATCTTAATTTTGCATTACACTATTGAAATTAGAAATCAAAACTCACAGTGATAATATCTGAGAGGGCTCATTTCCTTGTTGTCTGAAATCCCATATTTTTAACTGTCCAATTGAATTGACTGTAAGAATCTCAGGAGTTCGAAGGAAGGTTACAGCATGGAGTGTACTGCTATCTGCATTGTCTACAAATTAAGAAAACAGTAGTGTGTGTTAATAGGTTTCTGTGTGTCATGAGATTCTTAAATTGCATTCCTTTTCGTTGAAATACTACAAGTGAAATTTCAAAGAGGTCACAGTTTAATTTCTATAAAAAATATACAGTAATATGCATATTAAAATGAACTGTCCTTTGATAGAAAAATGGCATCACTCACAGGACACCTAAACTGTTTTCCAAAGACAGGACTGAGTTTTCACATACGTATTTCTCTATTTCCACATAAGACTGTTTTTCTCCGCTTCTGAGATAGCTGCTCAAGCTTTTCTACATGCAGTTTTATTTCTGGCTAGTGCTTGACCCAGAACCTCCATTCCTCCTATTGGGCCAAACCCTGGTACTTCGTACAGAGCTCACTCTGGTGCTATATTATTCTGCTGGCTCACCTCCAATTTATTCATCTTTATCCTCATCACCTCTCTCCTCCGTGTAGCCCTTTCCTTCTCACAGTGTCTAAGCCGATACCACACAATTTAGCATATACTCACAGACTTTTGTTTTGTCACACTCCTCCAAACTGCCACCAGGCAACGGTCCTTTAACAAGCAGAGTTCCTCAGAACTAAAAATCATGATAAACTACACCAAAAACGGATTCATGAGCCCAAGAACATCTTCAAAGTTCTGATTCAGGTCTAGGTTGGTGGGCTGTTAAATATCTCCGCAGGCAAGGCCTTGTGAAGCCTGGTCTAGAGCGACTACACTAGAACAATCCTCCTAAAGCTTGACAGGAAGCGCATCACCCACTTACTCAAAGGACTTTCACCAGCTATTACTTAGTCGTCCACCTGGCAAAATGGAACCGCAACGGCTGTGTGCTGGACTCTTCACAACCTGGCCCCAATTTACCTCCCCTGCCTCATCGCTCACCTCCCCTACATACATATACAAAGTCAGCTCAAACGATACTTCCTGTCACCCTCTAGATGGCCATATCCTGCCTCCACACTACTCCTTATGTCTGGTGTGCCATTTTTTAGTTATTTATGGTCTAGAACCTGGATTAAATTATTTACCACCTGCCCCTCAATTCTTTATCCAATAACCCACTCCAGCCGAATAAAAAAGTTTCTTCTGTAGTCACTCAGTCATGGACGCCTTATCAATATACTGTCTTGATAAAGGGATTCTACTTTGTGTATTTCTATATCCTTCAAACACCTTGCACTGTATCTACTTAGCACATGGTAGATGCTCCATTACTATGCGATGGATGAAAGAAACATGACTTTTCTTACCTATAGTTCTCACAGCTTCCTTGTGATCAACTCTGAAGAGGTTTATTCGACCATCTTCTCCAACTGTGACAATCTCTGGGTTGTTGCACACCACCCCCGTGCATGGCGCACAGCTCCAGGAAGGACTGCCTGGACCTGTGTGGTAGTGAGCTGTGGCCCACTGCTGGCAGGCTGTCAGTGTCTAGGTGTCAGAAATGACAATGTAATTAATCAAAGCAAAGCTCTAAAAATCTAGCACTTTTGTCCAATTAAAGAATGTTTTAAGCCCTGGCTGGTGTGGCTCAATGGATTGAGTGCTGGCTTGCGAATCTAAAGGTCATAGTTTCAATTCCCAGTCAGGGCATATGCCTGGGTTGCAAGCCAAGTCCCCAGTTGGGGGCGTGTAAGATGCAACCGACTGAGAGAGGGAGAGAAACGACTGATGTTTCTCTCCCTCCCTTACCCTCTCTCTAAAAATAAATATTTTTTTAAAAAGAATGTTTTAATAAAATTCTGTCTTACACTTCTAGAAAAGGAACAACTCTCTCCTTTTTCTTTTGTATTTCCAAATACCAGTCTAGAACCTACTTCAATGAAAGCTCTGTATACACCAGATTAGATTCTAAAGGAACACTTTAGAATCTATATCAAAAATATCAAAAATATCCCAAACTTGTCTCAAATTAAAGAAATGGTTTTTAGGTATCAGGTAGTTGTGTGGTCAAAAGCAACTTTAAATTCTTAAGGGAATTAGCCTATAACTAAGAAATAAATCTCACTCTGACTGGTGTGGCTCAGTGGATTTCGTGCCAGCCTGTGAACCAAAAGGTCACTGGTTCGATTCCCAGTCATGCCTGGGTTGTGGGCCAAGTCCCCAGTTGGGGGTGTGTGAGAGGCAACCTATTGCTGTCTCTCTTGCATGCACATTGATGTTTCTCTTCTCTTTCTCTCCTTCCCCCTCTCTCTAAAAATAAATAAATGAAATCTTTTTAGAAAGACTTAAAAAAGAAATAAATCTTTAGGGAGCTTTATAAATGACTTGGTTAAGAAAAACAATAACATTTTGGTCTTACAGTTACGAGGCATGCTCATAAGCAAGGTAACCTTCGTTAATTCCAAAACCTACATAAGGACTCTCTTCCAGCAACTGAAAACTGTTACAAATGGGGCTCCTGGAAAGGACTGCCTCACCACTACTCTGTGAAGGTCAGCACTCTGGGCTTCAGCACACCAGAAAGGCACTGTAAACATGTCAACGGTGATGGAAAGCGATTTGATTTGGGGTGGGGAACGCGTGATACAATGTACAGATGATGTAGAAACTACCCAACACCTATATAATTTTATTAAGTGATGTCATCCCAATAAACTTAAAAAAGTCAAATCTTCATACAGAGTATCCTGTCTTTTCATTAAAACCTAGGTTCTAGACACAGATGCAAAGTAGCCATTCCTGTTCTTTCTCATGATACTCGAGTTAGAAGGTGCTTTTTCTTCAAAGACCAGAATAGGAACTTAAAAGAGAGAATCGTAGAAAAATCACTGGCCAGAAGAGTATATTGTTAGGTATAAACTAACAGAATTTAAGATATACCCAATTTCAATAAAAGTTCACACAAACATGGTTATAGAATTAATCTACTAAAAGATTAATCTATTAATCTACTAAAATATAACAATATTTTCTCCCTCCATGTTTTGAGATTATAAAAAAAATGTAATTACTTGTGTCATTAAGTACAGGCTTCTTTAAGCCTTTCTAAAAATAATAAAATACATTCAATTTTTAAATAAAATTTCTTTACCTGATTATTTGGATGGTGAAGGAACACTGTTACACATCCTGTTGATGAAGCAGCGACAATTCTTTCCTGATCAAAAAACTAAATAGAAAATTCCTGCTTATTATAGATTCAGAAATATCAGTATGGAGGAAGCTCATTTGTTTAACTTAATTAGCAGTAATAATTTTTTAAAAGCCTACAAGTGCTAAGCAAGTAAAATGTGATGATAGATCTGAAAGTCAAAACTCCTATACAAATAAGTATTTTTGTGAAGAAAAAAAAAACATTATTTTTTCCCAAAACTCATTCATCTATAATTGATTTAATTAATTTGGGACCACTACCATAAAGCTTTAGAAAAGTATCATTCCCACGGTTAGGCAACTTTCTATAGAAAAAAAAGGCAGGGACTCTTAAGTTACAGACCAGGATTTGAAACTTAATTCCATTCCCATCACTTATTACTGGCTTTGAGACCTTAGCTAAATTAAACTGTCTAACCCTAGGTAAGACGGGTTTCCCCTTTACACGGGGAAAACTAATTACTACTTAGAAGGCTGTGAGAATTAAAAAAAAAGTAAATTCCCTTTCAAGCAGTCCTCAAATAGTATGTGCTCAAAAGATCTTACTGTCAGTTTTCTCATTGGTAAGTCAGATAGCAAGATTTGATTCACAAGCATGCAATGAGAATTAAATTAACTTATGTAAAGTTCCCCAAACAGTGCTTGGCATATGATAGTCAATTAATTTAAAAAACACCTAAGATTGCCCTGGCTGGCATAGCTCAGTGGATTGAGCGCGGGCTGGGAACCAAAGTGTCCCAGGTTCGATTCCCAGTCAGGGGACATGCCTGGGTTGCAGGCCATAACCCCCAGCAACTGCACATTGATGTTTCTCTCTCTCTCTCTCTCTATCTCCCTCCCTTCCCTCTCTAAAAATAAATAAATAAAATATTTAAAAAAAAAAACACCTAAGATTAAAAAACTAAGATTAAACCCTGCCTGGTGTAGCTCAATGGATTGTGCGTAGGCCTGGGAACCAAAGCATCACCAGTTGGATTCCCAGTCAGAGCACATGCCTGGGTTGCAGGCCAGGTCCCTGGTGCAGGGTGCCCAAGAGGCAACCACACATTGATGTTTCTCTACCCATCTTTCTCCCTCCCTTCTCCTCTTTCTAAAAATAAATAAAATCTAAAAAAAAAAAACCAAACAACTACTAAGATTAAATCCACTGCCCCAATCCTGACTCTGCCATTAAGTGGCTAATATGTTCAAAAATTGTAATTCCTGTAAATCTGGGGTGAAACTAAACATACTTTAAGGTCTTTTGGAGCTCTAAATATGCTACTCTCCGTTTTTAACCAGGTAGCTTTTGGATATTATACAGACGTACTTGTAAATCCATAACATCGCCACAGTGCCTGCTACCGCATAATAACTGATGGTCTCCTTCAAATCCTCCATCAGAGTCCAAGTTCCCCAAATCTCCGATAGACCACAGTGAAACATAATTTTCCTGTAAAGCAAAAGGTTTTATCCTGAGTTGAAATATACGTTAAACTCCTGAAAATTAAAATTGGTATTGCCTTCAAGCTACCTTGCTTTAAAAACATCTCAGAATAATGGTGATAACGAGATTCGAGGCTCAGGCACACACACCACCGATGACTCGGAGGTACAGGGCAACTGAGCCCAATACGGGATCTTGTGGCGGGGACTTTGGGCGGGGAGGGGACGCAGGAGGGAGAGAAGATCTAGAAGGCGAGAGAATTCCCGCGCAGGGGCCCGGGGGCGCGGGTCCAGGAGGGAAGGACTCCCTTAGCCGGGGAGTAGGGATACCTCATTGTCCCAAGAGCCCGTAGCGAAGGTCTCCGCGGTCTGCAGACTCCCCGAAGGTACCGGTCGCCAGCGGGTTTTGCTGATTTTCTGAGACACAAACTTAGCATAAATTTCCTCCATGCCGAAATTGTTCCCAGTAGACACTCCGAAAGCAGCCCGAGCGCGCGCCTCTCAGTCCCGCCCCTTCCCGCGGAGCCTTGATTGGACCGACCTTACCAGGCCGACAGTGGCTGCGGAGAGCCAATTCTCTTCCGTCGTCAGGGAGGGCGCCACGAGCCCCGGGAGGAGGAAGTCGGAATGCATTTCGTCCCTGAGCAGTTTACGAACACAGGCGACAGTGTCCTTGTATTGTACAATCTGCTCCTAATCTGCAAAATCAGTATAGAAACACCGACACATGCATTTGTGCAATAATCGTCTAATGTAAGACAAACTTAAGAGCAAAACAAAAGAAATGCAAGAAAAAACACTAGCTTCCTAAGCTTTCAGATTTGCATTTCACGGCGCATAGAAGAATCCAAATCCTTAAATTCTCACGGAAATATAGCCCATTAAAGCTCCAGCATATTATTCTAAACCTCTCTCCATCTGTCTCCCAAACAAATCCTCTGCTTCAAAGTTGTTGAAACACACTGCCAGAACCTGGAGTTGGAATTTGGAAGACTCCAGCTCTAGTTTTGAAGACCATTGCCTAGTTGCGTAACTTTCCTCAATTCATTTATAAATAATTAAGAATGAATGTGATATTGAACGTTGAGAGGCCAGGAATCCGTGCTGTACGCTCTTTCTGTGCTTTTGACTACACCTAGAATGCCTTTTTATCCCTCTCGTCTCAGAATCCTACCCATCTTTCCAGGACCAGTTCCTTCCCATATCTTTTCCCGATTACTCTAGCCCATGATCTAAATTAATATAACACGTGATATTTAGATCACTAATAGAACTTAAATTTTATCCTCCGTTGGTACTTTTCTTTTCGTGCAGATCCCCAATTAGAATGTAAATCCTATTGCATAAGAGGTATGACTTACTCATCTGTAAAAAAACAATCTCCTTTATACAATATTTATAATGGTGTGTTGGTTGTCAGCTTTAGAGAGATATCAGGTCTTGCTGAGGACTGATACTGTTTTTGTTTTGTTTTAAATGGAAGACCATCAGGAAACTGCAGAGATTAAATAGAAAACTATTAGTCCCAAACTGACAATTTTATTCCTAATACTGAAGTAAAAAAAACACTGTTTTGAGTGTGGTTTCATTTATGGTCATCGAGTCCCAGAAAATAGGTAATGTATATTTTGGATTGGAAGTAGGCTGAACATCACACATGACAAAATCTCGTGAGAACTACAATTTAAAAATTGCTGCTGACGCAGTAGCATAGATGTGTTGACATAGTTTTGTTTTCTGCCTTAAAAGTTTATCGGACTAAAGGGTGACTGGATCCTGTTAGTCTCAATTCTAATTAGCAGTCAGTAAATTGGATGTGACGGGCATGTTCTCTGCTTCTCCATCACTGTCTGGCACAGCTGACAGCAATAAAGTCAGTGTCCAGTCCAACGGTAAAATTTGTGAGGTTTAATTTACTGAAAATGCACAATTGCGTTGGGAGGGTAACACATTCGGCGTAGGATACTGTGTTATTTTTAACCATTTGCCTTGCTCTAGCAAGTAAAGCATTCCCCACGTGCCCCTCCTCCTCCCATGTCATGGTATTCTTCCACTCTCTTGAGTTTGTGCTTTAGAATTGAGAACAAATCAGGGTCTCAAGAGTCCCTGCTAACGAAACACTGTTGCACTTGTCACAAAACCAGAGTCTGGAGAACTCGGGGTACAGAAGGCCTTTGCCCTCCCGTGCTTATATTAATTAAGATTATACAGGCTCTCCTACAGGGAGCTCTGACTGTAACCAACCTAAGTATTAGCCAACAGGGTTGGGTGAGGCAGAACGGAGGAAGCCCACCATCTAACAATCTGGACAGCTATAGGAGCAGACCCGCCGCTCGCAACAGCTGACCCATCGGTGACTGCGGGGCCACCGGCAGCAGGGGAACCTTCCCGCCACTGCGCTGGGTGACCAGAACCGCAGCCAGCACACGACCGAAAGCGCCAGGGCGCACCCCGCCTGGCCACAGAGCAAATCCAGCAAGGAGGCGGTGTGCAGCTCGAGACTTCCTAAATGGACAAGCAGTGGCGTGGCCGCTGACTGCGCCTCGCCTTCCCGCCCCGTCCGCAGCAGCCACAAAAGCAACCCGCGCGGGCGGCAGGACTCCAAGCCACCCCCGCCTCCGGCCCCACCCAGCCGCACCCGAGGCCGCGCGGTGTCACAAAGCGCATGCGTGCCGCGGGGGATGCCGGGAGCGCGCAGTGGCGGCAGCGGTGGCGACGGCAGTCACAGCGGCAGCAACAGTGGGGACGCGAGCGGGGCGGTGACCGTGTGGGAGGTGGTCTCACTCTTGGCGAAGCTGCTAGGCACCGTCGCCGCGCTGAAGGTGGTTCTGTACCTGCTCCGGGTGTGCTTAGCGATGGCCTGGAAATCCGGCGGCGCCAGCCACTCGGAGCTAATCCACAATCTCCGCAGTAAGTGCCACCCCCGCCGGGTGTGGGGCAACTAGGGCAGGCCAGGCCTGGACCAGGTCCCCTCGGGCCGTCCGGAACGTTCAGTCTACACCCCCCCGTGCCTGCTGAAGGGCTTCGGCGCAGGGTTGCACCAGCAGTCCCGAACCGCATGCGCTTGAGATCGCGTCCCCCGGGACCTGTCACTCATCGGCGACTCGGGCTGGAAGGGGAGAGAAAGAGCTCGCTGCCAGTGGGGCAGGGGCAGGCGTCTCCCCGGGGGCCTGGGGAAATGGGAGTGCGGCACAGGTGGTGTGGCTGTCACTCGAGTCCGCCGGCCGCTCGTTCGGGTCCGGAGGGCGAGGGGCGTGCACTCGGGGTGGGGAGATGTTTGCCAGGCCTCCTAGACTCTGGGCTGGACCTGAGGGAACTCCACCCTGGCCCCTCACTTCTCACCTTCCTCCTCCATAATCGACCTCGATGCAAGCGTGCTCTCCTATCTTTCCTCCCCCGCCCTCCGTTTTTTCCCCTGGAGGGAGATGCCACCGTCTGATACTGGCGAGGGGAGGGAGGGGAAGATGAGAGTATTGTCGTTGCGGATGCTGGGAGAAATTTCTGGGGCGGCTGTCCAGTGGAAAGCTTCGTGGGGAGGGAAGTAGAGGAAGAAATAAGCAGGGGATGCTGTTCCTGCTCGTGTATTTCACGAGCCTTTAGAGATCCTGGGGTACACGAACTATTGTGTGTGTGTGTGTGTGTGAGTGTGTGTGTGTGTGTGTGTGTGTGTGTGTGTGTGTCCTAACTTCTTTCAGGACTACCATACGCTTTACAAGGCTTGTATGGAAGTTTCCTTATGTCATTCTCTTTAGTTATGGTAGTCCTTCCTCTGACGGTAATTTTAGGGTGGGATGAGTGCTGTGTCACTCTTTTTTTTTTTTTTTCATTGAAATATAGCGTCGTTGTCTGGTCGGGAGACCAGGAGGACTGCAGTCTGTAATATGCTCGTACCAGTCAGAATTTATTTCACTTTCTTTGGCACTAATTTTGCAAATAATCACGTTGACACATGGTGTTTTAATTTAATTTAAATTTCAAGAGACATTTAATGCTTTTAAAGAAAGATATACAATTATCCATTTGTAACAAACATGACGTGAGATATATAGCTCTCATGGTGCATTTCAGTGAACTATTTTTCATTGATGGGTTGTGTCCACTGCAACGGGTTCGCTGAACTTTAGACCACAGTTGTGTTAGGGGAGGCAGCACATTGTAAAGGGCATGCATTATTTATGGTAATAGATATTTTTCAAAGAGTATTTCTTTTCATCTCCATAACAGCCTAAAAAGAAGATATGATATTTCCATTATGCAATCAAGAAAGTTAGTTGCAAAATCTGAGGCAAGTTCCCCTACCTGGGCTCTGCTCTAGGCAATGAATTCAGCTCCACCTGTTCCAAAGTCCACATACTTCCCACTTTCCACTGCCCATTAGTTCACTAATCTAATAAATAGTACAGTAAATAGGAAAAGGGAATGAAGACCTTTACCTTTCCTTCTAGGTTACTTAAATCCTGAAGGAGCTTTTTGTTTTTGTTTTTGTTTTTTTTTTTTGACCACTTAACTACTTTATCTCTCAGATGTTAATGATAAATGCAGGCATTATATCTTTACTATGCAATTACAGACAATTTGGAAGTAGAATCACTGTTTAATTCTACTTTGTATCTTGTAGAATACCTACAACTGAGATGATAAATGAACAGATGACATATTAATAAAGAAGGACTTCAAGGAATATGGGTGGAAGGGGAGAGGTAAAGATAAATTGGCTAGGTAAAGGTGGCTCAAACAATTGGTCTTAAGTGGACGACATAGTATACATTTTAGACACATTGTATTTTTATTGTAGTAAGTTACTTTCTGTGTGTCATGTTTCCTAATTCAATTGTAACCTCTGGGACTTAAAAAAATACGTCTGAATCCACTCAACGAACTTAATACTTATTCCTTTTTTTCTCATAAATTCCAATTAAGTGTTCAGTATGTGCTTCGATGTGTGTTAGAAATACCAAGATGAGTGAGGGAAATAAATAACACTCTCTGGCACATGGTAAGTATTTAATATTAGTCATTTGACTTTTTAAAAAAACAATATTTAAAACTTGGAAATTGTGGCCTTAGTGTTTAGTAGTGAAGAATGCTTAGATTTTAAAATTCGGTTGAGCATTGTCGTTATTCACTTTATGGAAGGCTGTCTGATTGGAAGTGGGCTTTTATGTGCTGAGGCAGCATTAAGTGTGATTTAAGTTCCCCATGGATTGCACTTAAGCTCAATGCATTGTAAATGTTTTTGTAAAATTTCATATAATGATCTGCTTGCTATTGCAATATACACACCTGAAACATTCTATATGCAGATTGTGGTTAAGTAATTTTCCACCAGTAGGTTATCTGGTAGTCGCTTGGCTGTGGCAGAAATTTGTAATTAATCGGGCTCTTAACGTCTCTCCTTTTTGAGCCAAATTTGTAGTGCGCCAAGACTGGATCTTTTCTCAGTGGTTTTATAGTCACGTTAATGTATTGCATTACTGTTCTTAGCTGAAATTTCTGAGGATGTTTTTCTGTCAGGAAATCTGATAAGAAATATTTAATATACAAGTTGAAAATGCAAATGTTTAGTTTATATTAGATCCATGGTAAGAGGAAATTAGAATTCTGTAACAACTTAGGCTTTTTTTGTAACACTTCTGCAACTTTAGTTTCAACTTCTTGCTAAAGTAATTCCAGCTAATAGATATCATTTTTATATATCACCTTATTATAAAAGTACTATTAGTTCATGTAAAAATTTCAGTTGGCACAAAATTTGAAAATCTCTCCCTTTTTCCTAATTAGTCCACTGCTGTGTATTCTTCCTAACCTAAAGGCTTCTAATTAAATATTGAGAAAAAGGTTAAAATGTGATAGAGTCAACAGGAAGTGAAAAGGGATCTGCAAACTGGAAGAGGAAGCAAATTACAGTGCTTTTTTTTAAAAAAAATGAAGTTCATGATTTTTTTTAAATCCTTACCTGAGTATATGTTTTTATTGATATTTTTAGAGAGAGAGGGGAAGGCTGGAGGGAGGGAAGGAAGGAGGGAGAGAGGGAGGGAGTGGGGGGGGGAGAAAGAGAAAGAGAAAGGGAAAGGCAGGCACTGATATGCGAGAGAAACATCTACCTGTTGCCTCCCACATGTGCCCCGACTGGGGAGACTGGGCAATCTAGTTATGGGCCCTGACTGGGAATTAAACCTGCAACCTTTTCGTGTATGGACAACACTCCAACCACTGAGCCACCCAGTCAGTGCCACAATTGGTTTTGAATGTTATAATCATTGAAAATACTGAGCTTTTCATTTATAAAACATACTAGAAACATGATTGTGTATGAGTTTATAGTGATATACCATTTATAGATTATTTTATGTTGTAATGATATTTCTTGTGATATCTCAGTTCTGTTGTGTGACAACTGCTCTTAAGTAACTTAGAACAGTGATGTAGAACTTAAGCCTGCTTCAAAATCTCCTGCATCACCTGGAAAGCTCCTTAAAAACTGATTAAGAAAGATTGCTGTTGACCCTTCAACAACATAGATTTGAACTTCATGGGTCAACTTATAAATGGATTTTTTCCAATAAACATACAGGCAGCCCATCGTATCTCTGATTTGGCATCTGCAGATCTCTGATTGAAAGCAGTATTTTCCATCCACGGTTGAGAATCCGAGGATGTGAAAGGCTGATTGTATGCATTATTCTGTGCCATTTTAAAATATGTAAGGGACTTGAGCAAAGTATCCCTAAATTTTGACATATGAAGTGGTTTCTGGAATTAATCCCCCATGGATACTGAAGGGCAGCTGTTGTTAAGTTTTAAGGGAGTCAAAAACTATACACAGATTTTCTGCTGTGGGGGTCGTATCAGCACCCCTAACTGCCACACTGTTGGAGGGTCAGTTGTATTTCTAACAAGTTCCTGAGTAATGCGGCTGCTGGCCTAGGGGCCAGACTTTGAGAATCACTGGCGTAGAGAATTGAAAATTACAAGGTTAAACTCCGCCAGTGTTTTGGTAGACTCAGTTTTACATCTTAAAATAAAATTTAGGAAAAAAGTCTACAGCAGTCCTGCCCATTAGGAGTCTCTGCAATGCCTGTATCTGCTGTCCAGGGTGGCGGCTGCCAGCCACATGTGCCTGTATCTGCTGTCCAGGGTGTCAGCCACCAGCCACATGTGTCTGTATCTGCTGTCCAGGGTGGTGGCCACCAGCCACATGTGACATTGAGCATTTGCAATGTGGTTGGTACAACTGAATAACTGGGTTTTGCTATTTAAATTAACTAAACAGTCACAGGTAGATAATGGTTACCATATTAGTGTAAGTCTGTAGAAATGAAAAATATAGTTATTTTATAATTATGGGTGGATAATGTGCTCACGAAACAAAATAATATAAAATAACTATGAGCCTGCTTAATTTAGGGAATGTGACAATTTAACGTTTGTGTTAGAGTTTATTTTCTATTTTTATGGGGACAATTTCAAGCTATGGTAAAATTGAGGAAAAGAGAGGGGGCAGGAGTGGATGAGGCTGAGAGAGGTGGGCTCCTAAAGCAGGGGTGTCCAAACCAGATGTTTGTGGAAGGGTAACTCTTGAGTAACAGACTTCAAATGCTGTAATGGCCACTTAAAACAATGCTAACGATTGTTCTTTTACCTAAAAAATTCAATCCACTGCCCTAACACATCAGTTATTTCTACGCATATTTCCTTTGCATCCTTGATTATGTCATTTTGTGCACCTAATATATATAGAATTGGTCATTCAGTCAACTGTCTGCTGTATGTCAGGCACTAGGGATGCAGCAGTGAGCAAATCAAATATCCATTCTCTCGTAGCTTACTTCTAATGGAAGCAAATAAAACATATGTCACATAATAAGGGATAAAGCGAAGGATGGGGAGTGTGGGGTGTTGAGTTTGCA